TTGTAAGAAAAAAACATGCCAGAAGTCATGAAATTATTTATCTTTCGCACGTAGTCAGTCACTGTACACACACCCACACACGTCAGTTGTGTAACGAAACATAACGGTTGCCACCCACAGTAAGCATTCAGCATGTGACCACATGACCAATCACAAGCCAAGCAGCGCCACAAGCTGAGCAGTGCCATCACAACCAGCATGGACGAAGTACGCATGCATCGGATTCGACCCACAAGCAGCCCGCATGCACTGTTTTAATGATCTTGCCCCCAACCTTCTACGCTCGACAGGGCGATTCAAATCCACGTGGACCAAACATCAGATTTTCAAAAGTTACTTTTAAAACTTGGAAAATCTGTCAAAGAAAGGTGCCGGAACTCTGTTCCGGTGCGTTCTATGACAAAAACAAGCACTGCATGTACTAAGATCCGTCCCAGTGCATTAACTAAGATGTGTACCTTAAAACCCAGAGGACTTTGAGGACTTTGAAGCACACACCTGAATCGTGTTTCCTTGCAAGAGCCTCTCCCTCAGTTTCATAAGAACTTGGGAAATCTGAGCTCTTCAAGATAATGCTGGCTTATTCTGGCCTCACAGTGGCCAATCAAATGCCTGTAATGGGAAAGACATAGGCGGGACCTGAGTGCAACGCACCCTCCTGCTTGTGCTCCCCAGTAACCGGTATGCATAGGCCTAGCTCCTCAGATCCTGGAGGCAGTATGTGTAATGATGAGCATGGTAAGAACAACATGTGGCCATCAGGATTAATAGTCGTTGATAGCCTTACCATCCATGGATTTGTCTAATCCCCTTTTAATGCCATCCAAATTACCTCTGCATTTTGTGATAGTGAATTCTATTGTTTTACTCGTAACTATTGTGTGTGTGAAAAAGGCTTTTCTTTCATTTGTCACTTTACCAATCGCCTCCAAAGGCTAGTCCTTTCAGAGGAGACAAATTGCTCCCTGTCCATATTTTCTGCACTGTGCACAATGTTTTAAGCCTCTATCATGTCCCACGTTACTATTTTTCCCTAAGTTCAAAAGCCCTGAAAGTTGTAAGCTTTTCTCATTGGGGGTTCCTGCAGCCCTTTGATCATTTTACTGGCCTTTTTCTATAAACCTCTTTTCAATGGAAGAGGGAGCAGTGTTTTTTTATTTTAAAAATGCCTCCTCTTACAATCAAATATCTTCAAGGCACCCTTTGGTACAGTAGTAAAAAAATCTAAAAGCAGTATAAAATCTAAACAGCAGCCCTTGTTCCTCTGGCTGGGGGCAGAGGGCCTATTTCCCCTCCCATTTTATCTGAGGACTCTGGGGACAACTGACAGAACAGAATGTTTGTTAAAGTCACACCTTTTTTCCAGTAAGGAACCCAAGGAAGATTACATAATCCTCCTTTGCTCCAATTTATCCTCAACACCTCTATGAGGTATGTTGTTTCAGGCAGTGGGAAGAGCTGTTTCCTTAGCTGATCATTCTCTGGCCACTGACAGGGGGGCCAGACTGTTCTCCCCCTTGCCATGATGTTCCTTACGTGGGCAAGAAGTAAAACAATTCCTAATGACAAACTTCCTTATATTGAGGCAGGTGGGGAAAAAATTCCACACGCAGCAGAATCCAGAAGGTTGCTCTGCACAGTGTCTCTCAAACCCTGAGCCTTGGGCTTTGGTGTTAATAAACAGGCAGAAACTTTGGTGCTCTGCTTCCTCTTTCCTGCTGAGTGTTAGGAGAGATTTGCATAGCTTTTTAAGACCGTATCTATACAATGTATTCAGGCTTTATAAAATATTGAGCACAGGTCTATTAAAATCCTAGAGGATGGACCTTAGGGCCTCATTATTTTCAATTAATTATTTTTTTCTATGTAGGAACTGAATTATGCTGAAGGGAGTACAGCAGTGCAGCTTAACATTTCACACAGGAGGTGGAAATGTAAAACTAATTTTCTCAGAGGAAATTAAATGGCTACTAATGCTGGGTCTCGTTTAAAATGCATCTCTTTATCCCACAGCTTTAGCGTGTGAGCAGGAACAGTGGCATAGTCTTACCAGTGTTAATGAAATCATCTTAAAAGTGCTTGTAGACCCCCTGCCCTTTTTTTTTTTTTTTTGGTCATTCTTTTGTTTTTCCCAAAAATGGATTGCTTTTTAGTGCCAAGAGATTGGAAGATCTGACTATGCTTTCTGGGTTAGGAATCATGTCAGTTTTATTTTTTTTTAGCTTTTAAAAATGTCTAGTCTAACAATTTCCAAGGAAGTGCTCAGTAGCAGAGGTACAATATAATAAAACCAGCATATCATCATTGTTCATATAATAAAAAACAGTAATAATCTGCCAGTGTAAGAGTCTTGACCTGGTTCTGCAAAGATCATACTAATGTTGGGCATGGTCTCCAGCTGCCCTTGTACTTCTTTTCTCTCCTCATCACCACCCCTTGCTTGCTGGGCAGGGAGAGAGCCCAGAAGGTAGCAGGCAGGCAGGGGCCTCTCCCGTGCTTCCTTCTCACCCTCTTCGTGGACTTGGCCAGGCTGAGAGGCTGGGGAACAAGGAGGCTGCCATGGGGAAGAGGGGGCACAGCTCCAGGAGGCTCTGCACTGGGCCCCAGCTGGGGAGTGGGTCTTCCGCAGGTGCCCAGTCATGGCCATCCTTGATGCCAGTCCTGAACACTGGATCTCACCATATGGAGATGCAACTGAAATGGAATAAATGTAAGAAGAGCAAGCTAGCAATGCCTTTCATAAAGAAAAATAAAATCAGTTAGAGATGGAACAACGTTGACCAGGAAACGTTCCATACCGGCCACAGTTATTTGAATTGCTGAACTTCAGCAAACTTTTATGAAATGGGCAGACTTGCTGATGATTGCCACATGGTGAACTGGTTTGTCCAATGTCACCGAAGATTCAGAGCAGAATGCTCACAAAAAGTTTTCAGAATAAGTCCTTGGGCTGCCAAAAGCCATCCTGTTCCTCCAAGAGAGTACAGTATGTATTTTTAGTATGTATTTCCAAGGTCGCATGCTTGCCTTCATTAAATATACAGGTTTCATTTCTCATTTTTTGAAAAACCCAAAACAGGAAAGTGGACCTGACCAAAATAAAGAAAGAAGAGCAAGAGAGCTTAGGCTATTTATAACCATAATAAAAATGAATGCTGAAGCAACAACTTATGTTGCAGCTTTAAATAGCTGTGAATATCAAACAATGAACCAGCTGTAGGTACTGGGAATATCATTTCAGTACCATAAACAAATATTTCCAGAGGACTATCAAGCATTTAAGCCTAAATGCATGAACTTTCAGTAAAATGCCCATCTTTATGATGGTGGAACGTCTGGAGTGGGAGTGGATAGATTGTGATTATCACTGACGGAGGATGGTGGCTGTCAGCAGTGGAAAACCTTTTTCAGCCTGAAGGCTGATCTCCATTTGCAGGAGCTCTTGGGGGATGCATTTCAGGGCTTGGAGGGGTGGTGGCAAAATGAGCAGGGCCAAAAGTGCCTTCATAGCGTCGCTGAAAGCTCTCACTGTTGGTCGCTCACTCTCGGGGGAGGCATTCGAACCTTTTAGAAAGGAAAAAATGGCACAAAAGCCAGGAAACCAGAAACAGTCGATGGTTTGGAGAAAGGCAGTTGGGCTGGTAGATGGGGGCATTTCTGTCTCAGCAACTCCATGCAGCTAGAGTTGGCCACTGGGCCTGAGCGTTCGCACCCTGTTCTCCGTGCAACCCTAACCCATGACAGTGATATGTTTTGCCCTAGCTATCTTGGATGACAACAAATACAAAAATGCTAAATGGGGGTGGAACCCTGAACAAAATGTTCACCCATTCGGAGGGGCAGGGAGGGCCGCCCATGCCGTCCCTGCTTCCACTGACTGCAGCCCCAGGACTTGGCATCTTTTGCACATTGTCGACGAGGATTCTTGCGCATTCCACGCAAAGTGCTTCGAGTCCACCCTGCCGGGGACCCATTTCTGAGATTCCCAATGGCACAGAGGATTCTGAGTGTGTTCCACAGGCCAGGCAGACAGTTCACCTTTGGACTTTCCACCCACCATGCAAGAGCCAGCAGTCACGGCTGAGGTGGAAGCTGACACTGGCCACCTAGTTAACATGCAGGATCCTGGCACCGTGTGGCCTGCAGGCCTCACTTTCCTGCCCTCCCTTTTTCAAACGGAACCTATAGTGAGTATGGCATATCCAGAGGTCCAAATTTAGCTTGTAACCCTCTTGGTGCTCTGCGCTCACAGTGGAGCGCCAAAAGGATTAAATTTTGCTTGCAAACATGCTCAATTTCGCCATTGTAGAGCTCCGTGCTCTGCTCCGTTTCAGCACTGTGGGGGCACCTGGCAACTTGCAAACTGCACCCTGCAGTAAGGAACTGGAGGATTAAAATAGCGCCTGGGCCCCCAGAAGTTGCTTACCCCGGAATATACCTTCCTGTATTTAAAATATGGCGAACCCAGGGATAGCTCTCTCATTTCGCAGTTTGCTTTTACACTTCCCTGCCTGACCTATCTTTTAGCAGCATATTCATTGCATATTGCAAAGTGAAATGCAAGTGTCCGTGGGTGGGTATACCATACTGTTGTCTCACATTGCAGGGGGCTGGAGGAGAGAGAGAGAGAGAGAGAGAGAGAGAGATAAATAATCTTCAGGGATAAAGAGCGATGACACAGAACAGGTTCTCTTCCCAAGCACAGATACGTAGTTCTCCCCCACCGGAAGGGCTTTCTCATTCATCTCAACAGAAGGGGCAGCCGGGGTGTGCTTGCATCCAAACGAGAGGGCAAGCCTGCGCATAGGTGTGGCGCTCCATGAGTACACGGTAGCATATTCAGCTGAGTGCCAGGGATTTTGCCACACAGCCACTGTCTACCTTCCATGGACATTTAAGGCCAGTCTCCCAAAAGTATAATATAATGGAATGGGATTCTGCCCTAAAAGGAGTATTGGTTTGGCTTTTAACCCTCTCTGGTTTTGCTTTTGTTTGTACAGATTACGATGTTTAGTGAAGCAGCTGGAGAAAGGTGATGTTAACGTGGTTGATCTGAAGAAGAATATTGAATATGCAGCGTCTGTGTTGGAGGCAGTATACATTGATGAAACAAGGTAAGACTTCAGAACAAGAAGGGGTTGACTGATCTGTCTGGAGATCTCTCTCTCAATCCACCCATTCATTGTTCCTTCCATCTGTGGTGTAGTATGTAAGAAAGAAGTGGACAGAACAGTTCTGCTGGAGAGATTCTGTAGCTGACAGCTGCTGGCTTGCAGCTACCCTCCCTCTCTCTTGTGGGAGGGAAGTCCCTTTTTGGTTCCTGTTGGAGTCAATGCAAGGCAATTAACTGCACCAGCAATAGCTTGGGGTCCATTTGAGGGGACCCTTGGAAAGACAAGTAGGTTAAGATCCTGCAGATTCTTGGCCAGCCTAACAAGTCCCTGAAACACCAGATTTCTGTCCACACTGCCAGTGGAACACCACTGGCATAATTCCAGTCCCTGCAGAACTTTCAGCCTTTGCCAGGGCCTTCAGCATCAGTGCTACCCCACTGGGTGGGCTTTCATATGCATCAGCCGGATGGCACTTATGCTGCTTCCAACAGCTACACACGCAGCTCGCTTTTGGCTAGCCATAGGGTGGCTCTCGAAACTGTGCACCAGGAAATCCTGGTACAAACTTCTGCTCTGGCTTGAATTCACGATGCAATCTTTGGCCACTCTCTCTCCGGCTCCCTTACAATACCCCAACCTCCCAGGGCCAATGGTGTAAGGTTTACTTGAGATAGCATATTCAACTTGCTTTGAACACTCAGAAGAGTTGTCTAGTACCATTATTGTTATTATCGACTTGAGTCTACCTATAGAAACTAAGATATGTTCACATGGAAACTATGTTACCTGTTGCCTTTTCGAGAGTCTTGGTTCAAAATGCTTATTAGAAGAGAAGGTTGTATCTGATGATTGTATCCTTTCTCTTAGTACATCTGTGATGAATCAGATTTTTTATAGTTGTAAATGCAGATGTTTCCCTTTGTGCCAAGCCAAGTGCATACACGAAACAATTTCAGAATGATTTCACCGCTAATTTCATGTCTTCATTGTTACTGCTTGAAATAATTTTTAGTATAGACATGTCAATGAAACTGGATCTAGTGTGAGACCAAGTTCTAGCCTGTTTACCTAAGTTTTGCATTTCACCATCTTGACCTTTTAGCATTTTATTCAGAACTGAATGTGCTCCTAAGTGCGGCTGCCAAAATATCTTCTGCTTCACTTGGATGTAGCATATGCGTCTGGTTCTATTTACTTATTAAACTTAACGGTCTGGCCTTTTCATAATTCCAGGGGGCCAACCTTATTATATTAGATACCATATATGTGTGTTTTGTAGCCCTGTGTTGTTTATACGCACATACCAAATTCTATCCATCCGGACTGAATACCTAGGGAACAGACAGTTGTGCTGCCTGCAGGTTTGGGAAGGTCCTAAGGCAAGGCGTCCTCAGTGGATCCCCCCTAAGGAGTCTTCCTCATCCTCTTTCTGATTGTTGCTCCCCCCCCCGCCCCCCAGCTTACTTGATGGGCACCAACAATATTTGGTTCAGAGAGGGAGAAGAAGGTAAACAAGCAGGTTGCAATGGCAAAAAGGAGGAGAAAGTCGAAGGGACATTTGTCAGTGGCTCCCTGCTGGGCTTCTGCCCATCCATGCTGCTCTTGACACTTGTAAAATGAGATTTACTATTTCCTGTAGTGAGAAATCAAAAAGAAAAGAAATAGAACCTTACCCAACAACTCTGCATTGCTCAAATGCCCCCATGTTTTTATCATAGTAGTATGTTATTTATGTATTTAAAACCTCTGTATGCTGCCTATTGTGCATTTTGTCGTAACAACCTTCTAGGCTCTGCTATAGGGAAGTGTCCTGTGGAGCATCCTTTTCATAGTTTCATGAATGTGAAAAGCTGCTGGGGCTGGTTTTTGTTAGGGCCAGGGTGGAGGAGAAAGGGTTCAACTCTCCCTTCTGCTTCTTGCAGCCCCAGGGCTGCTCAGGCTCTCCTGCAGCCAATATCACATAGCAAAGCACGTGTGCTTTTTGGATTCACACAAGTGATTAGAGTCAGACCAAGAGGAACAGATTCCTGACCACTCAAGTTCAAACCACAATGTTAAAAAGGTCAGGACAAAAGTTATACAGGTTACGCAAAAATGTGACATGAAAAATACGTAGAGTACATTAAAATGGAACACATAAACATTCACAAAACAATATGGCCAAGGCTTTTTCAGGCAGGGAAAAATAATTGTGATAAATTCCCAGCACTTTATGTTTGAAGAAGAATTTATTGCAGATGAATAGAATTGCATAGCGAATGCAAGCCAGAGCTGAAGTTTGTACCAGGCCACACTGTGTTTTGAATATGTAGCTTTAGTGGAAAGAACTGGGAAGTGCTGAAAAGCATGGAACAGATAATTCAATTTCTGGACTCTAGTAAGTATGCAAAAGGCACATATATGCTTTATTTTAGAGTGTCATTGTGGATCTTGCATAGAATCCTAATAGTTCTGCCCAAGTGGCAGCCAGCACTCGAGTTGATTAACTGCAGGATTTAATATTTATAGCACAGAACAAAGGAATATTGAGAAGGTGCTTTAAGAAGACCTTCGCTTTTAAGCAGCTGAGGGTTCCTCAGTGAAAGAATTTAAAGAATGATTCTTATGGAGGAAGAACTTTGCTCATTTATTGGTCGCTCCTGATGAAATCTAACAAATCAGAATATTACCAGATGCCCATGGAATCTGAATTCACTGCCTCCTATTTCAACATACAATTAAGTTGTTGGGTTTTGTATATTAACCTTTAAGCCTCATATGTTTGTATACCATATAATAAATATACTGTAATAAAATGTACATTATGACTTTTACATTTTATAGTCTAGTGGTTTAAGTATATTGGCTGAGCACTTTTCAGCACTTCTTGCTGTTTTTGGCATCCAGCTGTTGCCTTCAGTTTTTTTTTTCTTGTTTTCTTTAGTGGCACAATAGAACATTTGAAGAGATTGCTTCAGAGTGAATCCAGGAGATACAGTATTCAGGCTTTCAGGACACATGCTCATATGGTTCACACACACACACACACACACACACACACATTGTGAAGGGCTTCTCTAATCATACTTGAGAGGGTCTGAATAGAATCCCTTCTGATAAAGATATCCAGCACTTACTGGTTAAGAAATCCAAGCAGCAATTACACATTGAACAAATATCCATTCATCTGCGGATAGGCATATACAGTAGATGCTGCATATATATATTTCTACAGATGAAGGGATATCTTCTAAATATCAAAAGTGCTTTCTTCAGTAACTGTATTTCTCCACACAAGCTCTGCATTTATAAGAATGGGCCTGTGTGGAAGAATGACAGATTTCTGAATTCATAACATTTCCCATAATAAGTAAATTTGCAAATTCACACTCATTATGGCATAAAAAGCATTTTTGGTTTGGAAAAGGTCCACAGTGCTCAGCTGGAAGAGTCCTTCATGCTCTATTCATGAGAATTTTAATGGTGATAAATGCCATTGACCTTAGTGGGACTTCCAAATAATTTGGTTTAAGCTCATAATAGACATGAGCAAAAAGCACCTTTGATCTTTTTACTGTAGCCCTAGGCATGTATAAATTCACACTGATTTGGAAAGTTCTGACCCAGGGCAACTTTTTTCTAAAGAAACTACATACTGAAACTATTGAGACATTTTATAGAATTCACTTGAATGATAAATTTGTCACAGCTTCCCCAGTTGATTCTGGGCAATAGTTGGTGTTGTCATCCAATATTTATATAAGTAGAAAGAGGGGGGGGGGGGAAATTCCTACAAATTATGTTACAATGCATATCAGAAAAAGAGTGATAATTGATGCATATTGGTAATACTTTCGAATTTTAGAAGCCCAGAGGAAAATATTGAGCAATGCTGACATTACAAACTGCAAAGTGAACAGAGTCCCCTCTGCATATGCTCATATATCACCCTCATTTTTATCATTCATGGACAGAAAGTTTTTCCGGGTAATTTACATGTGTAAATGTCAAAAATGAATGTTGTTACCAAGGCTGGCCCTACCACTAAAGCTGTCACCCCAGGTAAAGGATGGTGCGAGGTGGCAGCAAAGTGCTGTGTGTCTTGTGGCCTTCTCTGCACCTCCCTCATCAATGCTGAAAAGAGATTAATCTGACGTGCCGGTTGGCCTTTCTACATGCAGTGGGACAAATCTTGCCCTTTTCTTCAGGCCACAACATGCTTTACACTGCTGCTCCTTTGGTGCCTGAACGCTTTTAACGCTTTTTTTGTTCGTCATCCTAAAATCTTAAGATAGAAACAAAGAAACTGAGCAAGTCAGAAGGGGCCTCCTGGGTCATGTGGTCTGACCCCCGGCTCCAGCCGGCTCCGCTCACGACATGCCTACCATGTGCATGTCCAGCCTATCCTTGAACACCCTCACCGAAGGGGCCTCAACCACCTCCCATAGAAGTCCATTTCATACCCTCGGGGTCCTGACTGTCAGGAAGTACTTCCATGTGACACCCCTGGTAAGATATACCAGTAACAGCAAAATTCACCAAATCTCTGGCCTTTACTGTACGTAAGTATCTTAACCTCCCCCATGTAGAATAGGAATTATTTGCAGTGATAGAAATGTCAAGATATCTAGCCATAAGAAATATGGGGCAGAGCTGAGTTTCCAACACACTTTTTAAACTGAGAGGTAAATTATAATGATGCCCAAAGGACCATCATGGAATAAACCAAACTAAGCATTCTGTTTAGCAGATGATCACAGACTGATCCAAGCCATTAACTCGGTGGGTGTCAACACTTCGACAAGAACAGCCACCATTCTAACCATCATTCCAGACCCATGTGAATGTCCTGCTTTCCCTCAGAGATAGTTGCATGTATCAACCTTAGGATTTTCTTCTGGGCAGGGCTTGAGATGCCAGGGGACTGAGATATACCTTCAGTGGTGAGGTGGGGTGGGCTGGGATGAGGAAACAGGTAGTTGCCAGTGTCCCAGCAGAGCCCACCAGTGCTGACCTCTGCC